GTTTCTGATTTTAAAATGGTACCATGGTTAACTAGCTGTTTGTTCAAAAATCTGAGAAGAGTTGTGATAGTCTTGGAAGCATCAAACAAATAAGTAATGTTTTGCACAGAATGCCATCCAACAAAAGCATGTATGAAGGGAGAGATGATGCTTATCTTAATTGAACAAAATAATTTCAAAATGCTGAATTATTGGCCTGCATGATGTATTAGTCTATATATACAGTTCTTGCATGTTGTATTTTACTTCATTACACCTTTGAAATTACATCATTAGAGGTGTGTAGTTCACTCAGTGTTTGTTTCTGGTGTTGTTCCCAGTAAGTCAAAAGCGATGATGACTGTCATTCTTTTGTGAAACTCAAAAGGCAGAACGACAACTTTAGTCAACCTTCATTGTCATTGTATGGAAAAAATATGCAATAAAAAGAAATGTGACTGTCATTAACTTTCTGCCTAACATCTCCTGTAGTGTTCCATAGAAGTCAAACAGGTTTAGAACAACATGAGTAAGTTACGACAGAATCTTCGTTTTTGGGTGAACTATTCCTTTAACATCATATCTCAGTCTTTAACTGTACTTCCATTATCTTTTACTGTCAGGGAGACTAAAATGTGTTTATTGTTTCTGTATACCTTGTATAAAATGAGACAAAATCCATGGATCAAAATAAAGAAATCAGGACAAGCAGCTGGATTCCCCTGAGGCTGTAGCGGTTAAGAGTAGCCTAATGTCTTGATTCACAGGTGTGGACTGACATTACTGTGGCTCTGAATCACCCGAAGTTAAACACTCCCCTGTAAACACAGTGTGAGAGAGAAACAGCATTAATACAACCAATAGCTAATGAATCTAGAAAGAGTTTATTTCTTCATCTGAACAGATCTCAAGAAATTTAGCAATTCATCACTTACTCACCAATGGATCCTCTACAGCAGTGGTCACCAACCTTTTTAGGCCCAAGATCCCTGACCTCGGCCTTTATGAAAGACAAGATCTACCTATTGAAGAATTGATAGAAAAAGACATCCCAGATTGTACTTCAAATTTGAGGCTTTTTACTTAGTATTTTAATTAGTGATGCGCCGATCATAGCTGATTCAGAATTCAGATTTTCTTTCCTTTTTTTTTTTAACTAACAAATTGGATTCTGATACTGATTTTTAAGCAAATTTATTTATTGGCTATTTGCTTTATAACAAACAAACTGTCTAGCAAAAATATCTAGCCATTTGAAATTAGAGGCAACCACTGCATTTTAATCATGATCTGCACGGGCAGTTGTTTTTGATTTGATTTAGATTAATGTCAGGATTTAAAACAAAAACAGAATGGTCTGACTTTAGGTATTATTTATTTATTTGCTACATAAAACAAATGCACGAAACAAAAACAGCAGGTCTGAATGAGACACACTCTCTGACAGCAGGTGGCGCCTATGAACAGGGTTGCCAGGTTTTCGCAATAAAACTAGTCCAATCGCGTTTCGAGTCGGGTTCGCCTGTAAAAATTGCATTCCGGGGGTAAAATACACGTTTTTCGGCAGGGATCTTCAAGTAAAATTCACATTCCAGGGACTAAATATCACGTTATTGGGGTCGCTTCAACCCGCGGACATGAACAACAACCCGCGGCAACAGTGTTAAGTAGCACAATTCCGCGGGAAAACCGCGGACTTGGCAACATTGCTTATGACCCGACCGCACTATAGCGTTTCCTTGGTTACCTCTGTAAACAAAGCAGAGTTGCGCTTTATACGGAGACGAAAATGCCATTGCCATCGAAACTTTTCTGAAGACAGTACCCTTCAGTGATACATTAATATAACCCCATAAATGTAATGCATTTTTGTACTTATTTTACTGTTTTTTTCGGGATCTACTAGGACAGTGATAAAGATCTACCAGTCGATCGCGATCGACGGGTTGGCGACCACTGCCCTATAGTGAATGAGTGCCATCTGAATGTGTTTTCAAAGAGCTGATAAAAAACATCACAATCATCCAAGTAATCCACACGACTCCAGCCCATCAATTAACATCTTGAAAGCTGAAAAGCTGCATGTTTGTAAGAAAAAAAAAAACGTTGACTCTGACCAAAATACTGTCCATATACTGTCCATAATCCATAATAATGCTTCCTCCAGTGAAAAAATCCATTCCCTGTAGTCCTCTCACATCAAAATCCACAAACATATTTGTTAAGAACTATTTTGCACTAAAAACACTTGTGTGATCTGTGCATATTTATCCTCTGATTCAGACAAGACCACTTTTTCACTGGAGAAAGCAATATTATGGATAGAGGACTGGTAGTTTAACCTGGAGCCTTGGTTTAAACTTAACTTCTTAATTATGGATTTTTTTTTTTTTTACAAACATGAAGCTTTTGACTTCACAAGATGCTAATTAATGGACTGAAGTCGTGTGGATTACTGTGATGTTTTTAAGGCATCCATTCACTGCAAAAGATCCATTGTTGAGAAAGTGATGTAATGCTACATTTTTCCAAATCTGTTCCCATAAAAAAACTAATTCATCTATAGCCTTGATAGCTTGAGGGTGAGGGCACTTTGCTAGAACACCTGTGTAAAAATCATTTTTGTTTAAAAGTAATGACAAAGATTGCAATTACATTCATACATTTTAAGTGTCCAAATACATTTTTGTGGTCACTGTACAGCATTATAGAAGAATGGGTGTGAATCTCACACTCATCCAGGCCACACAGAAAAAAAAAGGGGTCAAAATTGTACCTTTTGGGGTACAACAGCTTGTCACTGGTGCAGTACTCTTAAAAGGATATCTTTGTACCTTTTTTACCTTTTCGTACCCTTAAGGTACTAATTTGTAGGCCTACCTATTAGGGGTAAAAAAGTAACAAATATGTCCTTTTAAGGGTTCTGTTCCAGTGACAAGCTGTTGTACCCCAAAAGGTGCAATTTTGGCCCCTTATTTCCTGTATATAGCCTATACATCCACAACAATTTCTGAAACCAGACAACCCTATTATTTGTATGGCATCACATAAAAAAGGTCTAAATCCTTAGTCTGGGGCCGTGGAAAACAATTAAAGTTTCTCTCTTGCACTGCACCTTTCCCTTTCCCTTTTCTTCAATTTCCCCAATATCTCTGCCCCCCCCCCTTATGTGTCACTTTTTCTTACGTGTCACTTCTTCACCAGCAGGTCTAATGTGAGCAGAACTGTGTCCACCTTGTTGAAAACAACCACCTGATTTCAATTTGTTAGCACAGAATGTTATTTATCTTAAAATGACTTAAATACCCTAGATTTAACAAACCTATATACCTAAATATTATAGAAATTATTACTTTTATTTAGCAAGGATGCTTTAAATTGATCAAAAGTGATAATAAAGACATTTATAATGTTACAAAAGACTTCTATTTCAGATAAATGCTGTTCTTCTGAACCTTCTATTCATCAAAGAAACCTGGAAAAATATCTAATCTGTTTTCAACATAATAATAATAATAATAAAAATAATAAATGTTTTTTGAGCAGCAAATCAGAATATTATAATGATTTCTGAAGGATCATGTGACACTGAAGACTGGAGTAATGATGCTAAAAATTCAGCTTTGAAATCACAGGAATAAATTACATTGTACAATATATTCAAATAGAAATCAGTTATTTTAAATAATACAAATATTTAGCAATATTACTGTTTTTGCTGTATTTTGGATCAAATAAATGAAGGCTTGGTGAGCAGAAGAGACTTCTTTAAAAAACATTAAAAATCTTACTGATCAAAACCTTTTGACTAGTGTATTAAAACACAATTTCTAAAGTGCCTAAATGTCAAAATTAGTACAATATATTTGTTGAAATAGTCTAATACACTATTGAATTATTAGGCTTTGAGCCTGTTACTCATATTATTTTTGTGTTGCTGTCTGCTCTAGCTCCTTCCCTCCCTGTACAATAAAGCCATGTGAATATCTGTCTCTGCTAAATTTTTTTATGTAACTTTACAATTGATATTGATGTCCTTTAGCACAGCATTCTTCTGAATGATGATAATAATGGGGTGCTACAGATACTAGCAGTTTAATACTCAACTAGGTTAATAAAGACAAAACTATCTAGCGTATTTAAAGATGAAACTGACCTGCACTCGAAGCCCTGAACAGGTCAGTGATGTTGCTACATTTCACTGCTTCTTCTGTCCGCTTTCTCTCTTCAATCGAGTCCCGTGCATCGGTTCTGTTCGGAACTGTTTGACAGAAGCGCGGAACACACGTGAGCTGATTCGTATTGCGCAGCGCTGACAGTCAAGACTAACCAATTTATGATTTATTAGGCCTATCGATTTATTATCGAATTAAAAAAATCGGAAATGATCACTTTGGTACATTGAGAAGGCATAAATATCAAATATTAATAATAATAATAACAAAAAAAATAATCAAATCAAATTAAAGCCAAATCAGCCGCCAGGCCACCAGGAATTCTCCCGGTGCTCCCAGTGGCCAGTCCGGGCGTGAACAGGACAATGTTGAAGTTTTGGGTTCACTAAAAAATTAGAGCAGGTGGAAATTGAAGGTCCACAAACATGATAACATCACCCAATAATATTCACCACAGGATCTGCGAGACTCACTGCAAGTTTAGCATTAATTTAATTATTACATAATTGTGTTTATATAATCAACTCAACTGGGCTCAGCTGGGCAGATTGTGCAATGTAATGAGCTTTTATTGCATGATTGAACTGGGGGACAAGTTTGTATGAAATATGAGAGCAGGATAAAACCTCATATTCCACCACAGACCTCATCAACATTTCTGGACAGTCTAGACATTTTAATTACCCCAGTGTTTCTTTTTTGCCTTATTTTGTGTCTTGAAATATGAGAAATATGAGTGGTATTACTTTCAAACATATGATCTCCACCTGTCAGATGATAAGATGGGCATAAAATCCTATACACTTACATTGAAGGAGAGTCTGGTTTGTTTGTGTTCTTTTGCAGATAATCAAAATGAAGGAGCCAATACCTGTGAGCAAAGCATATTGAAGAGAAAGAGGCTAGTGTGAGTGTGTGACTGTATGTATGTGGATGAGCTTTCATAGGCCATGTCTGTCCCCACCAAACAAGAGAGGACAGTATGTGTCCTCCTTCCCACAAAGGAGACATTAGACATCACAGTGGGGGTAAATATTCAGCTCTTGTGATTTTTCATATTTTGATTTGCAGCATGTCTTCCTATTGTTTCCACGTGAATCTGTCAATGACAAATGACAAAAAAGCAATAACCTACTTATGGCTTTACTGTATATTGTAATATACAGTATATAAAATGTGCATATTTGTGTTTATTGCATTGAATGCATGCATTTAGAATCAGAATGCATTTCAAAATAATGTTTTTATACCTCATTCATTGTTAAATCTGTTTTTCTTTTCCTCCAAGTTGAAAGCAACGGGTCAAGATGTATTTCATCGTGTCTGCGAGCTTCTCGGGGTTAAAGAGCTGCACTACTTTGGATTGACTTTAGTCAAAAGTAAGGATTGATTCTTCCCAATTACATTGTACGCATTTAAAGGTTCCAGAAGTGGGGTTTTGCAGTGATGTCATAGCAGAACCGTTTTTGGTTCACCAAAGAATGTTTCAGTGAACAGTTCTTAAAAGAACCAATGTTTTCTTATTGTAAAGAACATTTGAATAATCTATAGAACCTTTTCCACTGTAAAAACCTTTTGTGCAATAGAAAGGTTCCATGGATGTTGAAGGTTCTTTATGGAACCATAGATGCGAAAGAACCTTTATTTTTGAGAGTGTATGTGGATCTCAAAGGAAGTGTGTATTTTGTGTGTACTGTAAATGGAAATTGTAACCACATTTGAGTTGGTTTATTTGTCTTTCACTGAAGACTTTCAAATGCAAATGCTTACAGCTCAAGGCCTTCTGGTCTTTTGCCAATTCAAGCAATTTATGAACTGCACCTGAATGACATAATCTGCAGAGGGGGGTTAAAGACACAAACTTGCTTTTATTCCCAGGGAAATATGAATTAAATCCATTTAAAACTAATGTAGCATCTGATATTTGTCTTTTGCAATTCCGATCAGGTTCTTTCTATTAAGATGAGTTTGTTCACTCAGTCTCTTTTTTCTCTCCTGTTCAACCTCTCATTGAAAAAGCCTAATTCCAGCTTCTTCCTCCCTTGAATACCTTATGATTATGTGTCACTCTCCTCTTGGACAAGAGCGTCTTTGTTTTTGTTTATTTGAGGGCTGGTGACCCCTGAGGCTTGGAATCAAGCTATATTAACTTTGTTAAGCCTGGAATTCACCATGATTCACCACTTCAGTGCAGAAATGGCAGCGGGAGAGAGCAATTTATACTGGCTGAGCGTTTAGCAGGGTCACACAACCTTCTTGTCATGAACCTCGGATAAAGAGACAGTGAGTCAGAAAGAGTTTGAGTCATTTAGTGAGGGAGTTAGTGATGCAAAGTTAGCAGTGATAAAGGATGGATAAACAGAACGGAACGTGAACTTGCGCTTGTAAAAACACAACATAACATAACATAACATAACAACATAACATAACATAACAACATAACTAATATAACATAACATAACATATAACATAACAAAACAAAGTGTTAACATAACATAACTAACATAACATAACATATAACAACATAAACATAAAGTGTTAACATAACAAAGTGTTCACATACATTTTTGTGTGTTTGTGTAGATACTGAATCATACAATATCAGAATTTTGACAGCATCTAAAACTTAATATGAATTACTCTGAATTGTCATAATCACTCATAATTTATTATATATAATACAGTTGAAAAAAACTTTTGCTGCTTAATATTTTTGTGTAAACTGTGATACCCTACCATTCTGTAGTTTGTAATTTATGAAGATTTAAAAATCTTTATTCAGCAAGGATGCATTAAATTGATCAAAAGTAATCAAAATAATGTTACAGGATTTCTATTTCAAATAAATGCTGTTCGTTTGAACTTTCTATTCATCAAAGAATCCTGAAAAAATGTATCATGGTTTCCACAAAAATATTAAGTAGCACAACTGTTTTCACATTGATAATAATAAGAAATGTTTCCTGAGCAGCAAGTCAGCATTTTAGAATGATTTCTGAAGGATCATGTGACACTGAAGACTGGCGTAATGATGCTGAAAATTCAGCTTTGCCATTACAGGAATAAATTACATTATAAAATAATATATTCAAGTAGCATACATTTATTTCGAACTGCAATAATATTTCACATTATTATGGTTTTACTATATTTTTAATCAAATAAATGCAGCCTTTGTGAGACTTCTTTTAAAAATCGTAATCATTCCAACCTTTTGACCAGAAGTGTATATATAATGGACTATATTATGAATATAATAGAGTATAAATATATGTGTATGATACCTTACATATACAGTGGGTACGGAAAGTATTCAGACCCCCTTAAATTTTTCACTCTTTGTTATATTGCAGCCATTTGCTAAAATAAAATGATTTGCATTTTAGATGCTGTCAGTGCATTGATATTGTACATTATAGTGTCTATCCAAATGTAAGATAATGGATGTGTGCTATCTATACTTTACATACAAATACTAAAGAGGTCACATTGACAAATCAAATAAATCACATGGACCAGTTGGATTAAAAGGATGTGCTAACATTCTGGGAAATAAAATCCATTTCTTGGTTTTAGCTAAATCTTCTTTAATTTTTCTATTGTGACATTTATTTAAACCATCTTAATTCCATTCTTGCACAAGCTCCCTTTTAGAAGTGTTTCCATGATTTACTCAAAGTGCTAGAATTCTTTTGCAATCGCAGATCGCTCTGGCATGAGACTGCTAGTTTTTACTGGGGTAAGTTTTGTCTGCGGTTGGGGCTGTTGCATACCGGGGCCTGCGTTCACCAATGGCTCAACGGGTCTTTTCATTCCAGCCGTCTCCCTAATTGAGGTCATTGTTGGGCAGATTTCATGCATGAATTCACGATGCCATTGTTTGCACGCCGAGAGCATTTACACTTGTTTCCTGTGTGTCCTTTCTGGGCTGTTTTAGACAATGAGCACATCTTTCTGGACTTGGAAGAGAAACTTGCCAAGTACTTCCCTAAGGAATGGAAACAGGACTCAGGGAAGGTGAGCATAACAGGGTCCTCCATCATTAACACTATAAAAAAGTACCAAAAAGTATAAACAACTATGGCATTATCATCATGGTAGTACCATGGTGTTCTTTTACATAGCTGTAAATACCATGGTTCATCAATGTGATAATCATATAAATATAAATAGCGTTGTGATTCTACTCATTCCATCACAGTATCACTGTACCATGTCCTCCATGTTCCCTGTGGTAATCAGGGCGGTTACAGTATGATAGTAAAGATAAATACTAGTAGGCCGGTCGGGATGTGGGAGTGACTTCATAATGAGGGGGTTGCCACAGTAACCTAGTCAAGCCTGTTCTTTCTCTCAGCAGGGGTCACAGAGGAGGTCAATCCCTCCGCTGCTCTGTCTGAAGGTCCAGTACTATGTGGAGAACGGCAGACTCATCTGGTAAGAAACAGGCCAGAGATTCCCGAATGTTTGAAGGGAGGAACCCTCTCATTGGCCTCTTTCCTTCATTAGTTTTAATCCTCCGGGGGGTGAGGCCAGTTTGAGTGGGCTTGTGGTCTTGGTTTTTATGTGGTCTATCTTGAAAGCTGTTTTTATTAGGAAGAATTTTCCTCCCTCATCTGGGTGTGGTGTCACTGAAAACTGCTCATAATGAAACTCAGCCTAACTTTAGATTTTATTAAATGAGTGGAGGATTTTGAAGATAGACTGAAGATAGTCTTTCACTAAATTCCTTTTTAAATTAATTCTTATGTGTCATATTTAGTTTTGCGTGATTAATATAGTTCACATAAAATTAGAAAATTATGGTAGAATTTACTTTATTTTATTCTATTTTTAAATCTTAAATTAGGCTTGATGTGAATTCTTAGAAACATTTAATTAAAAAAAAAAAAAAAAAATCTGTTTGATATACAATACCTTTTAAAAATTTAGGGGCCGTTTTAATGCTTTTGTAAGAAGTCTCATGCTCACCAAGGCTGTTAAAGGGTCATGAAACCCCAGACTACTTTTTCTGAGATTTTAGCAGAGGTGTTTGTGTTGCACATCATAGAAGACAATATTAGCATCCGATAATTTTAACTGTTGGAGAAAACTGGTTAATGATTTCAATTTTTAATTTCTCTTTGGAGTGTTACAAGCTCTTGGTGCATAAAGTCTCAAATCCAAAGAGATATCCTTTATAAAAGTTAAGACTTCTCCAGCCCTCCTAAAATGCCTCGTTTAAACACGTCCCCACACGTCTACATCACTGTGTGGGAAGATTTGCATAATGCCGCCCAAATGTTCATGCTAAGAAAGAAGGCGTAACTTTTATTCTCGCTGTAGTATTATTGCCGCCGCCATGTTGTGGAGATGCTGTGTGTTTCATTGTGAAAGCGAAACTACTTTGTTTGGCCTTCCAAAAGAGGACGATATCCGCTTCGTCATGCCTAGAGCTGATCCGTTCTGGTCGCTGAGGACGCTCCTAGTTCTAACATTGTCAGCTTGGCATTGAAAATGGTCAACATGTGAACGAAACGTTTGCCTTGTTTCATTCAGTAAATTGCTTATATTGTTTTCATCTCGCTTGTGACTCTTTGACGTTTGAGTGTGCAGACTTTTTTCAAGCTCTTCACCTTTGGGAAACTTTTTTTTGGTCTACGCACCTCAGTTGGATTATTTTGAAGGCGCGGTGAGTCTCTGGCTGCTTCTCGGTCGCTGAGGAAATACATCAACTTTGCGCTGTCAATCGCCGGATCGGCTTTCACCGTGGACGAAGCGGAGTCCAGCACGGGGTCGTCACATGAGAGGTGCAACAGCGCGTTTATATAAATGTTTTCGATGCAGAGTGCAAATGGCTGTGCATTTATTTGTGTTTTTAACTCGAGGGGAGCGAAATTAAACTGTCTGAACGCGAAGCTGTGTGTTGTCTGTCTCCCCTCTTCCCCCTCCTCCGCTCCGCTGCGCGCTACGCCCACATTTTTAGCATTTTTTAAAACTGTGGTGAGAACGAACAAGTGCTTTAACTGTTAAAGTTATTACTTTAACAGTTAAAGTAATAACTGTTATTACTTTAACAGTAATAATGTGAAATATTACAATAAAAAAACACTTTCTATTTTAATATATTTTTAAATGTAATTTATTTCTGTGATGGTAAAGCTGAATTTTCAGCATCATTACTCCAGTCTTCAGTGTCACATGATCCTTCAGAAATCAAATATGCTGATTTGCTGCTCAAGAAACATTTCTTATTATTATCAATGTTGAAAACAGTTGTGCTGCTTAATATTTTTGTGGAAACGGTGATACATTTTTTAAGGATTCTTTAATGAATAGAAAGTTCAAAAGAACAGGATTTATTTGGAATAGAGTTATAAATAGAAAATAATTCTTACCAAAAATTGATATTCATATTTTTCTCATACACTTTTTTATGTTCTCAGTGAGCGTAAAGCAAGAAAACTGTACTACTATGATCTGCGGGAACGTGTCCTGCGCTCAGAATGCCGACAGCAGGAGGAAGTGTATTTCCAGCTGGCAGGATACGCCCTACAGGCCGATCACTCCGACCACCCCTCAGACGGCCACAGTCAGGGACACGTTGCGTATTTCCAACCCAAAGAATACTTTCCACCCTGGGTAAATCTTCATTAGAGTGTATAAAATACAATCACATACAGTTGCATCCAACCAGGCAGTACTTACTTACTCATAGTAAGATTTGTTTTAAGTTGAAAAGTCCAGAATTTGTTGTATTTTGGATGCTTGTATGCTGGTATCCTCACCAGGGTTTTTAAATAACAAGACTTTCTTTGACAACCAGCTTCACC